CAAAGTCTCCAATGGAGACGTTACTGGGCCCGCTCGAGCAAATCGATGATCAACGGGAGGGCCTTTACTTTACTTTTACTTTATATATAAAAATAAAATTTCACTGAAACATTAACACACTGTAAAAATGTAGATGTGGATTGATGATTATATTAACTCTATAACTCTATAAAATAATTTAGATAAAATACTTAAAAATAGTACCATCGGGGGCTGGAGAGATAGCACAGCGGGTAGGGCGTTTGCCTTGCACGCAGCCGACCCGGGTTCGATTCCCAGCATTCCATATGGTCCCCTGAGCACCGCCAGGAGTGACTCCTGAGTGCAGAGCCAGGAGTGGTCCCTGTGCATTGCCAGGTGTGACCCAAAAAGCAAAAAAAAAAAAAATAGTACTATCGGGGACTGGAGTGATAGTGCAGCGGGTAAGGTGTTTGCCTTGCACACAACCAACCCGGGTTCGATTCCCAGTATCCCATATGGTCCCCTGAGCAACGCCAGGAGTAATCCCTGAGTGCAAAGCCAAGAGTAACTCCTTGTGCATCACTGGGTATGACCCAAAACAAACAAAAAAAAAATACTACTATGAAGTATACAGAAGTATGCTTTCTAAAACTTTCTGAAACAAGTTCTCTACCTTTTTTTTTTTTTTTGCATTTTTGGGTCACACCCGGCAATGCAAAGGTGTTACTCCTGTTCATACACTCAGGAATCACTTCTGGCGTGTTCGGGGGACCATATGGGATGCTGGGAATTGAACCTGGGTCGGCCGTGTGCAAGGCAAATGCCCTACCTGCTGTACTATTACTCCAGCCCCAAGTTCTCTACCTTTAAGAGTTACAAATTATAACTCATAAAAAAAAGTTTTAAGTGTAGCCTCTTAATTCTTTAAGTATGAATTCATAGTACATAACCATAAATATTAAAAGCTGTAATAAAATCCACAGTTCATAGACTTAAGTCTGGTGAGCCTTTTTTGTTTGTTAAGGGGACACACCCAGCAATGCTCAGGGGTTAGTTTTAACTCTGCACTCAGAAACCACTCATGGCAGTGTTCAGGGACCATATGGGGTGTCAGGGACCAAATCTGGGTCAGCCACATGTTAGGCGAGAGCCCTACCCACCATATTATCTCTCCAGCCCCCATACGTGGTGATCCTTTATTCAAGTATGTCTACAAACCCCATCATGTCTTTATTCATGTCTTTACTCATTTCTACAAACCCCCATCACAGTAGAGCATATTTATAAGGTAATAACTTTTCAATAAATTATTACTTTTCAAGTAATATTCTCAAAGGCATTCCTGAATTCAAATATAACTTTTATTATCAAATCTTACCGTCCACCATTACCACTGCTCCCAAATCTGTAACATTCTTTGTATTCCTTCAACACATACTTAATCTTCCTAGAGGATTTAGTGTATTTATCAGAGCTAAGAAAAAAACTTATTTTTAAGGGCTGTTTAAAGTCACTTCCTTCCCTAAACTACAATACTTAGGAGACAGCTTCTACATATTGCTTTAAGTTCCAATGCCAAAATCACCCTCTTTCTGCTATTTTATCTATGTCACATACCAAACCCTACCCAGAACTTTTTAAGACTTCTCTATACACTTTATTCTGATCAAGAGCCTAATTGTCACCAACACAATCATTTATAAAGTTGCCACTGACTTTAAACAGCCCTTAAAAAAAAGTTTTTTCTTAACTCTGGTAAATACACTAAATTCTCCCTTAAAACAGTACTTTTTCCTAACTCATCTGAATATCAGATTCCTTTTAAGTTTATCCTTCAAATGCATAGGCAATTTAAATAAGTATAAGGCAAAATAATTTCATAATTATTTATTTTTTAGCATATTGATGTTATTACCATTGGACTGTAGGGATACCAATAAAGGTTCTTTACAAGGGACTTTATTCAACAACCATTATGTTCCTACACCTCTTCTTCAATGAATGGAGTCCAGCACTTTTGGTTGTGGTGCACTCATGATGGTTGTAGGGCTCACTGGTAGTCTCATTTGACTGGGTAAGATGATTACAAACTAAAACTATTAGGAAAAGCTTAAAAATTGTTTTTAAAAGGTTTACAGACCTGAAAGATAGTACAGGAGTTAAGTACGAGTCTTGCATGTGCCTGACTCAAGTTAGGTCCCCAGAACTGCCAGTTATAACATCCACAAAAGGTTTTTTAAATATATATGGCTGGGGCCAGAGAAATTGTATAGTGGTGCTTGCTCTGCACACAGGGTTTGAACCCCAGCATGCTCTGCACTGCCAAGTATAATTCCTAAGTGCAGAGCCAGGAGTCACACTGAGCATGGTCAGGTGTGGTCCAACACCACCCCCAAAATAAATAAATATACATGGCTAAACTTTCAATTATTTATGATCTTTCATTTCCATGGTCAGTAGACATAGGAAATACTTCATTTTTGTTTATGGACACACAATATGGGGCTCAGGAGCTACTCCTGGCTCTGTACTGGGAAATCAAACTGGAGCCTCAATGGCAAAACAGGCACTCAGTCCTTTTGGTTATTTCTCGGGTCCCAAATCTCACTCTTTAATTACTCTATACATTTTCAAAGTATAGCTAGAATTTAAAGTGCAACTTAAGGCTTGATATAGAGCATACTTTAACACCCCACCACTAGAGTCTTTGAAAACAGGCAATGTCAACTCTCAGATAAGAATTCTATGACACAACTGAATCCTGAATCCTAAAAAAAAAAAAAAAAAGGCAACAGTTTCAGCACCAAAGGCAGAGAACAGCGCATCTTTGCTGGGGGGGGGGGGGGGGGGGGCTTTGGGGTAAGGAAGTCGGGCAGGAATAACAGTAAGGTAGAGAAGGGATTCCCTTTCAAACAACTGGTTTAGTTAAAACTAATTTCTCCATCCCAAGGGCTCTTGGTCAAAAAAGTTCAGTAAATAACTATTAATATCTTGAAAGAAAAAAGCAACTTTTATTTTAAAAAGAACCGGTGCCTTGGATATCTTCTTTTTATAAAATTTAATGGCCAAATTCTGCTTTGCATTCAGTATCTGCCAATAGAGGGGTGTGTGTGTGTGTGTGTGTGTGTGTGTGTGTGTGTGTGTGTGTGTGTTCCTTTCTTCCTAATAATAAAAACAAGAATCTTCAAATTTAGTCCCTTCTGGAGCACTGTTTCAACCTGTCAGACTTGTTAGGAGGGAAACAATTTTAAGAAGGGGGCGGGGAGGAGGGGTTGGTTATAAGGATTCCCTTTTACATAGCTTCCTTTTCGGAAACCACATTAGTAAAGTCTCGGATTTCCTTCACTTGCAACTAAGCCCTGGGATTCCAAATATAGTTCTTTAACCCCTGCCTGGCCACGCAATCACACAAAAACCTGGCCAACCACAGCACCACCGCACAAACCCCACAAATTGGCTTGCAGTTCGGCTCGGAAGTCATGCCCTGCAGCAACTGCCGACAGCCGATCTGAGGGATATTACCCAAATACAACGCAACGGGATCAGACATGCAGAGCACACACCGCGTCCGCGAGGGAGGGAAACGTACCCGGGAAAAGTGCGCTCCCCACCAGCCTCGGGACCTGGGGGGCAGGGGAGGGAACGGGCCTGGAAGGGGGGTCCGGACTGGGAGGGGAGGGGGTTCCCCAGAAAGGAGGGGCAGAGGAGACTGAGAGGGGGGAATCCTTTCCTCCCCTAGAGACAAGGGCTGGATCTCCGTCCACATGCTGCAGCCTGTCCCTCTAAGGAAGGGAAGAGCCGAGGAGACGGCCTCTCGCCCTGAGAGATGGAATGCAGACACTTTCCCAGGTCCGGCCACAAGCCGGAACCCCCCCCCGCCCCCACCCCTCAGCCCCCGGCCCCAGAGGAGATGAGGAGTGTCCCATGGGTGACTGAGGGGGATGCCCGGCTCCGGAGGAGCAGCCTAAAGAGGAAGAGCAGAGTTTCGCCTGATGAACACCGGTGTCGTGTCCCGTCGGTGCCGCGGGCAAGCACAGGTGGAGCACCGCGGGGCGTGAGGGTGGGTGGAGAAGAGGAGGAGGGAGGGGTGCAGTGGGATTCCCCCCCCCCCCCTTTCTCTCGGAGCACCATTAGCAGAGGAAGCGCGCCGGCCAGCCGAGAGCGGCGTGCAGGAGACTGCGGAGCCGGGATCCCGCCGCCTCTCCCCGTAGCAAGGAGCCCCGCAGCGCCCGCCGCACCGGCCACTCAGTACCTGGGGCCCAAGGACTTGCGGCCTGACATGCCACAGAGCGGGCTCCAGCTCCCGGGAGACCCATGGAAACACCCAACCTCCAGCAGTTCGCAGCGGTTGTAAAACGCCTTCCCCCCCAGCCCCCCCCCCCCCATCCCTCCTCTCCACCTTCCCTCCTCCCGAGGCCGCAGAGAAGGGTCACCACAGCGAGAAGCCGGAGACAAGTCGGGGACAGCGGCCACGGGGGTCCCAAACCTCGTCCCCCCGGTTACCTGTGAGGACTCCGACACGGATTTGATGGTCGTGGTTCGTGAGAATCATTCCCTCGGTCGCCATGTTTCCCAGCGCAGTCACCGCACTGACAGGAGCCGGGAGAAGCCGGAGCCCGGAGCGCGCGGGCCGGGAGCGCGCTCGCCTGGGAAAGCGCGAGAGCGTGAGCGTCCGGGGAGCGCGAGGCTGGGGAAAGGTGGGGGAGGCGGCCCGGCGCTCGGCGGCCTGCGCGGGGAAGAGGCCGGCCCGAGGAGTGCGCGAGTCCGCGGGAGGGGGGCGGAGTCAGGGCGCGCGACCCCGAGTCCGGGTCGCGGCGGCGGCGGCGAACTGCGGGTGGGGAACGCGGCGGCACCACGCGTGTGCGCGGAGGCGGCGTCCGAGCCAGGCCGGAGCAGCCCTGAGGAGAGCGCCGTGCGGAGCGGCGAGCCCAGCGTGGCGAGAAAGGAAGGAAAGTGAAGGGAAGCGGAGAGCACACGCGCTGGAGGTTGCGTGGGTGGACTTGGGAACAGGGGGCGGAGCTACACCGCGAGGCGTGTAACTAGTGGAAAAAGGGAGGAGCCAAGGGCTCGGTCGCCGAGTAGTTGGAAGCGGGAAGGCGCGGGGGGCTCCCGGGCCGGGATGGGCCGGGGAACGCTCCCAGGCGCGCGAGTAGCGCCCGATTGGCCGAGAGGACGCGGCGCGGGTGCGCGCGACACACGAATGCTGGTTCTGTCGCGTCCCAGACAGAAGCAATCCCCTGCCGAGCCGGACGTCTCAGACGACGGTCGTCAGCCTCTCCGGCCGGCGTTCTGGGGGCCGCGGGTGCTTCTGTTGTAGCCGGCTTGAGAAACCCTCCTGAGAGGTGGGTCCTCGCAGCCTTCCCGGAGCTGCTGCCCGTCGCCCTGCGGGCGCCGAGGAACCTGGAGGTGACTGGGAACGCTTCGTGGGAGTCGGAACGGCGGCTAACGTGACCGAGCGACCGCCGTGGGCGAGGAAGGAGGTACCGAGTCCGGCCTCGTCTTCGCGGTTGGCTTCAGTTCGTCCTTCCCGGGTTTCGGCTGCTTCTGTGTGTCAGGAGTCCCATCTCCGAGTCTCCGGACGAGAGAGGGTCCTCCCAAGGGGAGATCTCGGGCGTCTGCGGCAGAGCGCCTTGAGTGGCATAGCTTGCTTTTTATTTTATTTTTTAAATTTTAACCTACCTCTGCCCCTCAGCGTTTTATAATCTTCTTTCCTCACCCGGATTTCTGTTTTAGAAGGAAAAGTAGCGATTTTAGAGCACAAAATCGCTGAGACCTGCACCTCAGTCAATGCAACCACAAGTAGACCCCGAGCACCGGCCATTGAATTCCGTTTCAGGAGTTGTGTGGGTTAAGATATAACCATGAAAGCAGCATGTAGTTGCCACTTCCATGTCTGTCATGAAATGTGTTATCAATCACTTACGTCTGTTTCACATCGATTTCGTAGTTCCCTTTCTAGAGCGCTTGTAAATTCTGAATTGTATACATAGTTAAAAATGAGTATTGTATACACGCAAGTGTTATTACACAAGCATGTTATATAAATACGTTTTCGTATTTTCTGTCTGCAAAATAAAATACACGTATATTATGTGCAATGCATGTATTTCTTGTATTCTGACATGGTAAAACGTGGGAGACATAAATGAAAAGCAAAGTGAAGTGTCGAATAAAGGAATAATCATTTGTGCACGGATTTTCAGAGATCGTTAAAGTTTTTTATTGCTCCAAATGCATATAAACTTACTCAAATGGTTGTAAAAATAATAGAATTGAGGTGCGATAAATAAGTTAGTAAAAATGGCTTGAGTGTATGTTGTATTTTTAACAAATCAAAGCTGGTCAACAGATTGTTAGGTTAAAATTGAGAGGATATATTAAATGTGAAAGTATTCCCAGAGAATGGTCTTTAGCTTGCTGTGAAGATTAAAAGCAAATAGATGGTTACATTGTTAACCATAACCTATCTTTATTGTCATCAGTATCCTTAAATTTAATAGTTAGAAAAAAATTCCCTAAAGTTCTAAATACTTAATCTGCCAAATAGTTTATTATTAAAGACGTAGACGGAACAACCTTTCATCTGATACTCTATTTTTATTTCTAAAAAGAAGCTGACATCTTTGTTTCATAAATAACATGGGACTAATCTCATCTTTAAAAGTAGTAATGGGGAATTGTAATTGAAAATGGAGACTGAATTAAAATGTAAAAAATTTTACTATATGAGGGCTGGAGCGATAGCCCAGCGAGTAGGGCATTTGCCTTGTACGTGGCCGACCCGGGTTCTATTCCCAGCATCCCTTATGGTCCCCTGAGCCCCGACACAGGTAATTCCTGAGTGCTAGAGCCAGGAGTAACCCCAGTGAATCATCAGGTGGACCCAAAAAGCAAAAAAAAAATTTACTATATGGAGGTTTATCTCCTGAACTACTGTATTTTAAATTGCTGGAAAAGTAGAACTGGACAATTATAATAGAAGTTTGTTGCCCAACCATTTTTCTTGTGCATTCATATCTGCAGAAGATAACAAGCTGTAACAGTTTACACAGGAAAAAGCACAGAGACCTTATTATCTAGTGTGACCTTTCCTTTTATTGCTGATCATTAAGTGAATATTGCAGTATGCACATGCTCTTTTACTCCTTTTATAGTAGAATTCATCCTGGAATTGAGTGCTTGGTAATAATTTTTTCTGAAAGGTAGCAAAAGTATAGAATATACTGACAGATGTCTCCTGAAATGTGAGGGATAAAAAACAAAAAAAGTTGAGCTTGTATGTGAAGAATTAGAGTACTTTTTCTCTTTATTTTTAAGGTTTTTGTAGTGAAAGCTACAAGAGTTGACATTATATGAGCATTAACAGAAAAGATGGGTAAATATCTGGCTAGTAATGATTTTCATTATAAATGAAACCATACTTGATTTTCTGAGTTCTGGCTATTTTCATTAGCAGTAGATGTAAGCAGCAACAAAATTGGTTAATGAATTATTCTTTTTTTAATGAATTATTCTTTATCTAAGCCTTATTCCACTCTTGTTTTGGGGCCACACTCAGCTATGCCCAGAGCTCCTGGCTCTGCACTCAAGGACTCAGGGATCACTTTTGGTGAGCTCTAGGACTATCTAGGGTGCCAGGAATCAAACCAGAGTCAATCATATGAAGTTCCTGCTGTACTATTGCTCTGGCCCCCATTCCACTCTTTTTTAATGGCCACAACTAAAACAATCAGGTTTAAAATGAGTGAAAGCAATATTTTGAATATATAATATCACTGAATTGTACACTTTAAAATGTTAAATTTTATTATGTGTATTTAGCACTTTTTTTAATAGGGGCTAGGTAAACCTTAGATTGATTTTATCGTGTTACTTTCCCCCAACAATAGTCAAGGTAACTTTCATCCTTATTTGTGGAATAAAGGTGAGAGGATGGGCAAAAATACCTGGCTGTGCCCAGGAATCACTCCTGGTAGTGCTTAGGGGCATACGCTGTGCTGAGAACCTAACTGGGGTCAGCTACCTACTAAACAAGCACTTTATCCCCTTTACTCTTTGTCCAGGCCCAATCAAAGTAAATTTCAGATTTGTTGACTTTAGCAGTGTTTTATTTTCTAGGGCTGCTGTTAAAAATAACACAACAGGAATTTATCCTCTTGTGGTTCTGGAAGCTAGATTCAGGATCTAAAATCATGCCATCAAAGTGCCCTCTTTGTTAACAATTCTCTTATTTTTTCTTATATGGTGACAAATCTAGCATCTCTAGATTACAAAAGTCTAAATTCCAGGTATCAGGGAAGTCATGTTCCCTTTGAAGAATGCAAAAATTCTTCCTTGTCTCTTCTTAGCTTGTGGTGGTTGCCAGCAATTCTCAGCATACCCTGGATTGTAGCTATATCATTTCAGTCTTTGCTTCTGTCTTCATGTGGCTTTCGCTGTTTTTTTTGTTTTGTTTTTGATTTTTTTCCTTACCCTCCTCAAAAGAATACACGATTATTTAGGACCCATTGTAATCCAGTATCACTCTACTTTAACTAATTACATCTACAAAGACCTTTACCCAAGTAAGTTATATGCTGAGATCTGGGTGATGTAAAATTTGAGGAAATAAAAGCTATCTAGATTGAAATAATGCATGAAAACATAAATTAGAAATTTAAACTCTTAGACTATGATCTTCAATATTTCTTTAAAAACTAAACTTTCAAAATTTGAAAATACAGGTCTAGTTAATTGAGAATATTAGGGAAGTTTTGGCCTAACTAGCCTAATGCTTTCCCCCAAAAGTAGTCTACTAAAATAGACTTTTGCAAAATAGTGAAATAAATTTATTCATGCCTGCTAATGAAATTGACATTTGCTTTCAGTTCTTCTGCCCTTATTATCTTTTAGTGAAGTGAAGCTGAGCCGCCTCAATTGCTCATGGTGTCTAATGGGACTAATTTAGGAACAACTAGGATAATATTTTCCAGTGTCTCCCATGTTTATTAAATCCAGAATATTCGGTAGGCTTTTAATATTACATTTCTACTTCCCATATGGCTACTTGAATTACTCTGCCCTGGTCCTTGTGGTTTTATACCCTTACCCTCTTCCTATGAAATACCCCCACTGAAAATTCAAATATCTGAGGATGTTTTTGTTTTCAAATGACTAATCCTAGCTTAAGTCAAAAATAATTCATTAACCTATGCCACTCGGAAATCCAGATGAGAACGGGCTAGGTTCAGGATCTAAAACCATTTAATCAAGGGGTTTGCTGTCAGCTGTGCTTTCTTTGTTAATTTAATTCTCCATTGGCTCTTTATGGTGGCAAAGATGATGCTTTCTTCTCTAGATCCACTTTTAGTCTTGAGGAGGACTATTTGGTGCCCCCAAACTGAGTCTGCAAGGGCAAAAATATTTTTATACTAATATGAAAGCATTATTTATTTATTAGGTACAGTGGGGATTTTTTTCAGAGGTTACATAATGAATAATGATACCATCCTTCCAATAGCTAATAGAATGTATTTTATATTAATTTTATATAGTAAATATTATATAACATACACAAACCAAAACTCTTGAGTCCACAATAATTTTTTAAGAGTACAAATGGATCTTGACAGTAAAATTTTGAGTCATAGCTTTAGGTCATGCCCATCCTGAAAACATTTATTAAACCAAAGAGAGTGGCATTTTCTGATTAAGTAGGCCATGATCATGAGGATAGGCCATCCAGAGGAAAGAGTTATCAGTTGCATCCCTAACAAAACTACAGTGATCAAAGAAGAAAGAATCTGGGTATAAAGGTAATGCTTGGATAAGTCTGTATTGTACTGTACTGTAGTGTAGTGTACTGTACTCCTGTTGTTCATTGATTCGCTTGAGCGGGCCCAGTTACATTGTAAGATTTGTTGTTATTGTGTTTGGCATATCGAATACCTCACGGATTGCTTGCCAGGCTTTGCCATGCGGGCGAGATACTCATAGTTTTTAAATTTTTTTTAGCTATGAATTACAGGGTTTTCATGTTTGAATTTCAAACACAATATGCAACACCAATCCCTTCACCAGTGTCTACTTCTATCCACCAATGACCTCAGTTTTCCTCCCACCCACCAATCTGCCTCTATGACAGGCACTGTTTTTATTTGTTTATGCTGGTTCACAGTACGGTTAGGGATGGGGTTTTATGCATCACACTTTACATCTTTACACACCTTCCTCCTCCCTCCACCATTGCCATACTGTTCTCTTCCCTGTCTCCCTCCATGCCTAGTTTCCTGCTAAGTTTCCTACTAAGACCCATTCTTATGTTTTTCATTTCCATTGCTTTGGGGCATTTTGTTGTTCTCTTACTATGTTTCTCTATATACTGCATATAACAGAGATCGTTCTGTGTCAGTGTATCTCCCTCTGACTAAATTCACTCAGCAATAACACTCTCCAGATCCAAATAATACAATTTGTATATTAACAAATTGCATGATTTCATATTTTCATAAGCAGCATAATATTCCATTGTATACATGTAACACTGCACTGTCCTCCCATTGTTCATCGACTTGCTCGAGCGGACAACAGTAATGTCTCCACTGTGAGATTTGTTGTTACTGTCTTTGGCTCATCGAATAAGCCACGGGAAGCTTGCCAGGCTCTGCTGTGCGGGCAGGATACTCTTGGTAGGTTGCTGGGCTCTCCGAGAGGGACCGAGGAATTGAACCTGGGTTGGCCACGTG